AAAGGACAGATTTCCACCGGTCTAATGTCCATTGCTCGTGTTTCTTGGCCCAAGCAAGTCTTTTCTTCTTATTGGTGTCCTTTAGTAGTAGTTTCTTTGCAGCAATTCGACCATGAAGGCCTGATTCACGCAGTCTCCAATGAACAGTTGATGTTGAGATGTGGCTGTTACCTGAACTCTGTGAAGCATTTATTTGGGCTGCAATCTAAGGTGCAGTTAACTCTAATGAACTTATCCTCTGCAGCAGAGGTAACTCTGGCTCTTCCTTTCCTGTGACGGTCCTCATGAGAGCCAGTTTCATCATAGTGCTTGATGGTTTTTGCGACTGCACTTGAAGAAACTTTAAAAGGTCTTGAATTTTTCCAGATTGACTGACCTTCATGTCTTAAAGTAATGATGTACTGTAATTTCTCTTAGCTTATTTGAGCTGTTCTTGCCATAATATTGACTTGGTCTTTTACCAAATAGGGCTATCTTCGGTATACCACCCCTACCTTGTCACAACACAACTGATTGGCTCAAACGCATTAAGAAGGAAAGAAATTCCACAAATTAACCGTGTAGCTCAGTTGGTAGAGCATGGCGCTTGCAATGCCAGGGTTGTGGGTTCGATTCCCACGGGGGGCCAGTATGAAAAAAACACAAACAAAAAAAAATATGCACTATAATAAGTCGCTCTGGATAAGAGTGTCTGCTAAATGACTAAAATGTAAACAAGGCATAGCTGTTAATTGAAATGCATTCCAGGTGATTACCTCATGAAGCTGGTTGAGAAAATGTCAAGTGTGCAAAGCTGTCATCAAGGCGAAGGGTGGCTACTTTGAAGATTCTCAAATATAAAATATATTTTGATTTGTTTAACACTTTTTTGGTTACTACATGATTCCATATGTGTTATTTCATAGTTTTGATGTCTTCACTATTATTCTACAATGTAGAAAATAGTAAAAATAAAGAAAAACCCTTGAATGAGTAGGTGTGTCCAGACTTTTGACTGGTACTGTATATACTTACAAAACAAATATGGGGGATTGGAAATGATGCAGACAATTACATTGATGGAAGCCATAATCAATCCGCAATATTAAAGCTGATCTACACCCTAAAGAAATATATTTAAAAATAAAATAAGATTCAACCAGTTACTACTGTGTATCTCATATTCATTTTTTAAAATGATGGCCCTGACATACTTCATTTTTATGTTTCCATAGTTACTGGCCCCCTGAATGAGAGGCAGATTGCATATGTTTGCAGGGAAACACTACAGGTAAGCATGAAATGATATGCAGCTTTATTCATTGGCTGAGGCGTTCAACCATTTTATATTGTGAAACTTTCCATTTGGATGTAACATTATTTACATTGTAAATTCATAAAGATAATGCTTGACTGTTACCCTGAGAGACAGTGCCACACTCGAAAAAATAAAAGGTGCAAGTTGGAACCAAATAAGGTTTTTGAGAGCAATGCTATAGGCAGGGGATTCAACTCTTACCCAACGAGGTCCGGAGCCTGCTGGTTTTCTGTTGATAATTAATTGCACCCACCTGGTGTCCCAGGACTAAAAGTCCCTGATTAGAAGGGAACAGTGGAAAAAAAGCAGTGGAACTGCCTTCGAGGTCCAGAGTTGAGTTTGAGGGCCATAGGGTAACCATTTTAGGGTCTCAGAGGAACCATAAATGAAGAACCATAAAAAAATCCTAACCAGACATGTTTCGGCCCTCCAGGACTGGAATTGAATAGCCCTGCTGTAAGGTTTTAAGCCTTCTTTTTATATTTCCCAGGGTGCCTTTTGAATGAATTTTAGAGTTACCAGTACCACCCATGACTGTGTTTGATAGTGACAGAGACATGGTTGTTGCATTCATTCATTTACAGTCCTGTGGCCTTCACCAAGTGACAATACAATACATATTTCATAAGGCCTTCTTTTAAGGGTCTAGTTTTACCATAATACAGTCGTGGTCAAAAGTTTTGAGAATGACACAAGTATTGGTCTTCACAAAGTTTGCTGCTTCAGTGTTATAAGATATTTTTGTCAGATGTTACTATGGTATACTGAAGTATAATTACAAGCATTCCATAAGTGTCAAATGCTTTTATTGACAATTACATTAAGTTTATGCAAAGAGTCAATATTTGCAGTGTTGACCGTTCTTTTTCAAGACCTCTGCAATCCGCCCTGGCATGCTGTCAATTAACTTCTGGGCCACATCCTGACTGATGGCAGCCCATTCTTGCATAATCAATGCTTGGAGTTTGTCAGAATTTGTGGGTTTTTGTTTGTCCACCCACCTCTTGAGGATCGACCACAAGTTCTCAATGGGATTAAGGTCTGGGGAGTTTCCTGGCCATGGACCCAAAATGTCGATGTTTTGTTCCCCAAGCCACTTAGTTATCACTTTTGCCTTATGGCAAGGTGCTCCATCATGCTGCAAAAGGCATTGGTCATCACCAAACTGTTCTTGGATGGTTGGGAGAAGTTGCTCTCGGAGGATGTGTTGGTACCATTCTTTATTCATGGCTGTGTTCGTAGGCAAAATTGTGAGTGAGCCCACTCCCTTGGCTGAGAAGCAACCCCACACATGAATGGTCTCAGGATGCTTTACTGTTGGCATGACACAGGACTGATGGTAGCGCTCACCTTGTCTTCTCCGGACAAGGTGTTTTCCAGATGCCCCAAACAATCGGAAAGGGGATTCATCAGAGAAAATGACTTTACCCCAGTCCTCAGCAGTCCAATCCCTGTACCTTTTGCAGAATATCAGTCTGTCCCTGATGTTCTTCCTGGAGAGAAGTGGCTTCTTTGCTGCCCTTCTTGACACTAGGCCATCCTCCAAAAGTCTTCGCCTCACTGTGCGTGCAGATGCACTCACACCTGCCTGCTGCCATTCCTGAAAAAGCTCTGCACTGGTGGTGCCCTGATCACGCACCTGAATCAACTTTAGGAGACGGTCCTGGTGCTTGCTGGACTTTCTTGGGCGCCCTGACACCTTCTTCACAACAATTGAACCTCTCTACTTGAAGTTCTTGATGATCCGATAAATGGTTGATTTAGGTGTAATCTTACTAGCAGCAATATCCTTGCCTGTGAAGCCCTTTTTGTGCAAAGCAATGATGACGGAACATGTTTCCTTGCAGGTAACCATGGTTAACCATGGTTAACAGAGGAAGAACAATGATTTCCTTTTAAATCTTCCAGTCTGTTATTCTAACTCAATCAGTATGACAGAGTGATCTCCAGCCTTGTCCTTGTCAACACTCTCACCTGTGTTAACGAGAGAATCACTGACATGATGGCAGCTGGTCCTTTTGTGGCAGGGCTGAAATGCAGTGAAAATGTTTTTTGGGGATTAAGTTCATTTTCATGGCAAAGAGGGACTTTGCAATTAATTGCAATTCATCTGATCACTCTTCATGACATTCTGGAGTATATGCAAATTGCAATCATCAAAACTGAGGCAGCAGACTTTGTGAAAATTAGTATTTGTGTAATTCTCAAAACTTTTGACCACGACTGTACAGTGGCCTGAAACTCATTGTTTACAGGCCACATCAGGCCTCTTAAATTGCATTATGCTGGCTTGCAAAGTGATGTGTAATTCCTATTGGAATCCAGCCAGATTGGGGATATCCAACATTTTGAATTTTTTATTCACAAGCAACCTGCATTCAGAATGACTGCCAGGGTGTGGAAGATTAAGGTATGAGACTACCTTAAACATCTTAACTGGAACAACCATTTCAGTAACTGGTGCAATAAGTCCAAGTAACAGATTGGAATAGTTTAGAAAAATGTATGTTATTTATATTTCAGTAGCATGAGATTAAATTAATCAATCAATGTGCATGGAAAAACATAGATATTGAAACAAACAATTCTAAAAACCAAACTGCAATAGAGCATGCTGGGAAATATAATGATGATGGGCGTGGTTTTGGTTCAACTCTGGTTATTAACACCAACACTGAGGTTATTTTACACCACTGAGTGGTACTTTAACTCTTTACAGTGTTAATTAAACTTATGAATCAACACTAGAAATGTTGCACTGAAAAATCAACATTAGTTAACACTACCCAATTTGCTGTGTGCTATGAAAGGGACACATCTGCAGGCTTCCATATATTTGAAGAACCTTTTAGAATTCGAATGAACCGTAGATGCCACGTCAAGAATCCCCAACTTAAATCAAAGGTTCTTTATCGGGCAAGAGTTTTTCCAAGGAACCTGAAGAGCTGATGAAGAACCATTTAAGAACGTTCATTTTTTTCAGTGCATTGTTATTGGGTTTTCTGTGTTTGCAGGGACTGCATCACTTACATGAGACTGGAAAAATGCACAGAGACATAAAGGTAATGTATAGAATCCTGTTGGATATAAAACATGTTAACAATTCACTCTACCCCTCATTTGATTTGAATCATTTTGGTCTGGCACGTTTGAACTACTCCTTCATACTTACTGAAATGTAATATGTAAGTGTAGATGTCTGTCTGTGTGTGTGTATTTGGAGCTGTGGATGGTCCTCACGGGAGAGCGTGAGATGGTGCACTCATTGTGTCACTGTGGGTTCTTCACAGGGAGCCAACATTCTTCTGACAGAGCGAGGAGATGTTAAACTGGGTCAGTGACTGTCCACCACCCTCACACTGTCACTCACTCTCACACATCCTAAAATACTTTTTCTCCACTTCTCTCATTACATATTTCTTTCCCCAGCGGATTTTGGCGTTGCAGCTGAGATCAACGCCTCAGTTGCCAAAAGGAAGTCATTCATAGGCACGCCTTACTGGTGAGTGATCTAAGTCCATCCATGGTACCGAAACGAGGCCCATGATCATGGTTTACCATAGTTATCCACGGGCAGCTTTGCTCTTCTAGGATGGCACCCGAGGTGGCAGCAGTGGAGAGGAAAGGCGGGTACAACCAGCTATGTGACATCTGGGCAGTGGGTATCACCGCTATCGAGCTGGCAGAGCTTCAGCCTCCCATGTTTGACCTGCACCCCATGAGGTGAGGGCACAGTTGCTGGGATGTCACCTCTCATGTATTATCATTATACAGATTCTGTAATAACAGTGGTGTTAAGTTAAATCTAGTTTCATGTATCCAGTCACATTAACAGATCAGATTTTGATCATGATCACTGCATCATGTTTCATCAACAGGTTAATAAGTACATTACCTTTTGTTATTTTCTTCTAGGGCCTTGATGATGATGTCAAAGAGCAGCTTCCAGCCTCCCAAACTAAAGGACAAGACCAAATGGTAGAAGTTACTTTACAATTTAAAAGTAATATGAACTACAGACCTGAAAGTATATACTGTATGTTACAGTGAGTGTCCAGGAGCCTATGTGGCAATAACCAGAGGTCTATCTGTTTAGGTCTGCTGACTTTCACACCTTTGTGAAAATATCCCTCACCAAGAACCCTCGCAAAAGGCCCACTGCAGAGAAACTGTCACAGGTACTATCTCAAAGAGTTCCATCCTTTTGAGGAGAGCAAGAAGATAGCATCAATGTTACTAAAAAAAACTGTTGAATTCATGTCCCTAGTGAAGAAACTGTTCTATAGTCCTTCGGGTGAGACACACTCCCCACATGACCTAGGTTTTCTCCTCAGCACCCCTTTGTGAGTCAGCTGCTGACCAGGACCCTGGCCATCGAACTGCTGGACACGGCCAGCAACCCTGTTCTGCAAACCACACACACTATGGACGAGAGTGATCTTGATGTGAGCTCCTCCCCTCCCCTATCCTCTCCTCACCTCACCTTTCCTTTCCTAAAATGTGTGCTTGGGCACAACAATCTATGATGTGGATTACTATACTACTAAGATGAATATGTCACTAATGCTCTGTATGTGCTGTGTATGTTGTTGTGTGGGTTTGCAGACATGCAGTGCATTCCCTGATAAGATCCAATCCTTAGCGAAACACCTGCCGGTCCAAAGGACTCATTCTGAGGAGCAGTGTGAGTAACTACAGATGTAGGATCTTAATTTGATCACCATGTTGCAGGAGAACATTCCTGCAATGCAGGGAATGTAAAACATGTAGTGTATGAGGGTTAAAAAGGCTTCTGAAGTTTGTAATTTGCGCATAGAAATGTCAGACTTGATCTTCCCTTACGAAAAATGTATCAACCTCTACAAAAATGTCCATTAATTATATTCCACATAATAACTAACATATCCAGTTGCTGCAGGATTGTTTTCCTGATGTAGCAAACTGGCTCAAATTAAGATACGGCATCTGTATAGCCTCTCAGATCCTTGCCCTCTAAGCACAGCTCCTCAAGGACTCTGGAGTTACTGATGAGCCATTGTTATGGCCAATGTAGCGTTACATTACAGCATGCAGGGGCAAGCAGCCAAGGTCAGGAGGACACAAGGGGATAGTCACTGGCACCAAGACTAAGCATCCATTCACACAAAATGAAAGAAAATGAAAGAGAGTAGTGTGAGAACAAGTGTGTGTTTTTGTTTACCGGTATCTCATATCATTGTCATAACAAAAAATATATGATTACGATGATAATGATGATTATCTACTACAGAGTATTTAATATTTTAAAGGTGTTATTCTGGATCATAATTGTATATGTGCTGATTATTTGACTGGGTGTTTTCCAGTTGGTCTGCTCAAATTTGGCCCTCCCATGAGGAAGGAGACCGAGCGCTCTCCGGACCTGGTGAGGATCATCTGTGTCTAACCGCTATGTTTTACAAACAGCATGTTGAACATAGAAAAACAATCTGTTTATTTGTCAAGTTGTCAGTACATCAACATATTTTCCCCAACAGGGATCGTATGACGAATGGAGCATTACAGGAGATGAGAACAACTCCCCGTAAGCTATTATTTCTCAAACCTCCTATGTGACGTCAGCTGTAATAAATCACTAATGAAAGCAACAATAACTGAATCTACTCTACATTTTGAGGTGCAGAAGTCTACTGGAGTGTGTTGAGGAAGCATTACTTGAAAGGTGAGGCTAAAATACTTCCCATATACATCTCTTTATAGCACTTACCTACCTACTGTATTGTGTCTGTAAGGCAAAACACCCTTACCTACCTACTGTATTGTGTCTGTAAGGCAAAACACCCTTACCTACCTACTGTATTATGTCTGTAAGGCAAAACACCCTTACCTACCTACTGTATTATGTCTGTAAGGTAAAACACCCTTACCTACCTACTGTATTATGTCTGTAAGGTAAAACACCCTTACCTACCTACTGTATTGTGTCTGTAAGGCAAAACACCCTTACCTACCTACTGTATTATGTCTGTAAGGTAAAACACCCTTACCTACCTACTGTATTATGTCTGTAAGGCAAAACACCCTTATCTACCTACAGTCGTGGTCAAAGGTTTTGAGAATGACACAAGTATTGGTCTCCACAAAGTTTGCTGCTTCAGTGTTCTTAGATCTTTATGTCAGTAGTTACTATGGTACACTGAAGTATAATTACAAGCATTCCATAAGTGTCAAAGGCTTTCATTGACAATGACATTCAGTTTATGCAAAGAGTCAATATTTGCAGTATTGACCCTTCTTTTTCAAGACCTCTGCAATCCGCCCTGGCATGCTGTCAATTAACTTCTGGGCCAAATCCTGACTGATGGCAGCCCATTCTTGCATAATCAATGCAGAAGTTGTGGGTTTTTGTTTGTCACCCGCCTCTTAAGGATCGACCACAAGTGCTCAATGGGATTAAGGTCTGGGGAGTTTCCTGGCCATGGACCCAAAATTTCGATGTTTTGTTCCCCGAGCCACTTAGTTATCACTTTTGCCTTATGGCAAGGTGCTCCATCATGCTGGAAAAGGCATTGGTCGTCACCAAATTGTTCTTGGATGGTTGGGAGATGTTGCTCTCTGAGGATGTGTTTGTACCATTCTTTATTCATGGCTGTGTTCTTAGGCAAAATTGTGTGAGCCCACTCCCTTGGCTGAGAAGCAACACCACACATGAATGGTCTCAGGATGCTTAACTGTTGGCATGACACAGGACTGATGGTAGCGCTCACCTCAGGTGTTTTCCGGACAAGGTGTTTTCCGGATGGCCCAAACAATCGGAAAGGGGATTCATCAGAGAAAATGACTCTACCCCAGTCCTCAGCAGTCCAATCCCTGTACCTTTTGCAGAATATCAGTCTGTCCCTGATGTTTTTCCTGGAGAGAAGTGGCTTCTTTGCTGCTCTTCTTGACACCAGGCCATCCTCCAAAAGTATTCGCCTCACTGTGCATGCAGATACACTCACACCTGAGTCCGATCCCGCAGCTGAATCAACTTTAGGAGACGGTCCTGGCGCTTGCTGGACTTTCTTGGGCGCCCTGACACCTTCTTCACAACAATTGAACCTCTTACTAGCAGCAATATCCTTGCCTTGTGAAGCCCTTTTTGTGTAAAGCAATGATGACGGCACGTGTTTCCTTGCAGGTAACCATGGTTGACAGAGGAAGAACAATGATTTCAAGCACCACCCTCCTTTTAAAACTTCCAGTCTGTTATTCTGACTCAATCAGCATGACAGAGTGATCTCCAGCCTTGTCCTCGTCAACACTCTCACCTGTGTTAACGAGACAATCACTGACATGATGGCAGCTGGTCCTTTTGTGGCAGGGCTGAAATGCATTGGAAAGGTTTTTTAGGATTAAGTTCATTTTCATGGCAAAGAGGGACTTTGCAATTAATTGCAATTCATCTGATCACTCTTCATGACATTCTGGAGTATATACAAATTGCCATCATCAACACAGAGGCAGCAGACTTTGTGGAGACCAATACTTGTGTCATTCTCAAAACTTTTGACCATGACTGTACTGTATTCTATTCCTAATGTATTATATTTTGCAAAAAGGAACAAAATATAATTTCCATTACAAACAAACATACCAAGTAAGCTGAATGCAAGGGAATTTAAAACAATACTGCACATCCACACAACTAGACATGTTTCATTCCCATAACATAGTATATTTGTGTCTGTTTGATATTCTTTGCAGGAGGTTAACCATAAAGAGAGCGCCCTCTGCTGAGGTGAGAGAGAACTACAGACTATCATCAGCCTCTCAGGCACTCAACACTGTTTCTTTGGAACCACACAAGTGTCTGTGTTCATCTGTTGCAGCACTCTCCTGAAGATGAGGATATGGATAAATGTGGCACAGTGAAGAGGAGTGGGGTCCTCAGCCCTGCCCCAAGGCATACCATCCCCCCATCCACTGCCTCTACTCCTCCCGTAGAATCTACTGTCAACTGTGACTCAACCCCTCCGACTGTCACACCTCCATTCACAGACCCCACCCTGGCTGAACCCTCTCTCTTCAACTCTACCATCTTTTCTGACCTCTCATTTTCCTCCTACTGCTCGTCTGAAGGTACAGCACCACACACAACACATCCAGGAAAACTGAAACAATCTATGACGTCATCGCGTAACAAGTAGTGGAATCAACTGCTTTTCATGTATACTATCTGCATGACCAAAAGTCTCACACCCATTATCCTGAGAAGCTATGCTGCACTGATGGGTCTGTGTGTTCCTGCAGAGGGCAGTGAGCCAGAAGGACGGAGGCTGGGAGAGACACCCTGCATGGCCCAGGGGCCCCCACTGTCTCCAGAATGGAGCACGCTCAGGAGGAAAACTGAGGACTCGGTGAGTCACCATCAACAAGTTACTGACAGCACTCTTAAATGCATATTTTGTACACACGATGACAGATTATTCTATCGTGGAATTTTTGTCTTCTTCAGAGAGGTGATTGCCATGGACTTCCACCCACGCCCAAAGTGCATGTAAGTCAAGATGTCTGGATATATAGCCACCAAAAATAAAAGAATGTATCGTTTTAATGTCACGTGCACAAGTACAGTGAAATGCCTTTCTTGCAAACTCAAAACCCAACAATGCAATAATCATAACAATTTAATACTAGGAAAAAAAAAACACGAGAAATAAGAAGAACACAATAAGTAAGTAAGTAAGCATTCTATATACAGGGTCAGTTCCAATACCATATTTACAATGTGCACGGATACGGGAGTGATGGGGTAAGGGGTAAGGGGACTAGGTAACAGGATATAAGATAAACAGAGTAGCAGCAGCTTGTATGTGAGTGGGTGTGTGTAGAGTCCGTATAAATGTATGTGCATATTATGTGTGAGTGAGAAGATGATGGAGTGAGTGTGTATGTAAGGCCCTGTGAGTGTGCATAGAGACAGTGCAAAAATAAAAGGTAAATAAAGATACAAGGTTAACTCAGATAGTCCGTGTAGCTATTTAGTTAGCTATTTATCAGTCGTATTGCTTGGGGATAGAAGCTGTTCAAGAGCCTGTTGGTGCCAGACTTGATGCACCGGTACCGCTTGCCGTGTGGAAGCAGAGAGAATAGTCTATGGCTTGGGTGGTTGGGATCTTTAATGATTTTCCTGGCCTTCCTACCTGATATAGACGTCCTGGATGGCAGAGAGCTCGGCCCCAGTGATGTACTGGGCTGTCTGCACCACCCTCTGTAGCACCATGCGATCGAGGGCGGTGCTGTTGCCATACCAAGCAGTGATGCAGCCGGTCAAGATGCTCTCAATGGTACAGCTGCAGAACTTTTTGAGGATTTGAGGGCCCATGCCAAACGTTTTTCAACCTCCTGAAGGGGGAAGAGGCGCTGTTGCGCATGTTAGGACCATTTTAAGTCTTCAGTGATTTGGAACTTGAAGCTCTCAACCTGCTCCACTGCAGCCCCGTCGATGTGGATGGGGGGCCTTCTCGCCCCCCCCATTTCCTGTAGTCCACGATCAGCTCCTTGGTCTTCCTGACGTTGAGGGAGAGGTTGTGGTTCTGGCACCACACTGCCAGGTCACTGACCTCCTCCCTGTAGGCTGACTCATCGTCGCCGGTGATCAGGCCTACCACCGTCGTGTCGTCAGCAAACTTGATGATGGTGTTGGAGTAGTGCGTGGCCACACAGTCGTGGGTGAACAGGGAGTACAGGAGGGGACTAAGCACACACCCCTGTGGGGCCCCTTGTTGATGGTCAGCGTGGCGGAGGTGATTGTGCCTACCCTCACCACCTGGGGTCGGCCCGTCAGGAAGTCCAGGATCCAGTTGCAGAGGGAGGTGTTCAGACCCAGAGTCCTAAGCTTGGTGACGAGCTTGGAGGGGACAATGGTGTTGAACGCTGAGCTGTAGTCAATGAACAGCATTCTCACCTAGGTATTCCTTTCATCTAGGTGGGTGAGGGCAGTGTGGAGAGCAATTGAGATTGCATCTATGGATCTGTTGGGGCGGTATGCAAATTGGATTGGGTCTAGGGTGTCTGGGATGGTGGAGTTAATGTGTGCCATAACCAGCCTCTCAAAGCACTACATGATTACAGAAGTGAGTGCTACAGGGCGGTAGTCATTGCGGCATGAAGCCTTACAGTTCTTGGGGACAGGAATGATGGTGGTCATCTTAAAACCTGTGGGGATTACAGACTGGGACAGGGAGAGGTAAGGACGGTGAATACGCCTGCCAGCTGGTCTGCGCATGCTCTGAGAACGCGCCCTGGAATACCGTCGGGCCCCACGGCCTTGCGGGTGTTGACCTGATTAAAGACTTTTCTCTGGGTCGGTGACGGCCCTCACACCCGGCACGATGTTGTTGTCAAAGCGTGCATAAAATGCATTGAGTTCGTCTGGTAGAGAGGTATCATTGGGCAGATCACGGTTGGGTTTTCCTTTGTAATTCGTAATGGACTGTATCCGCTGCCACATGCGGCGTGTGTCGGAGCCTGTGTAATATGATTCCACCTTATTCCTATATTGTCCTTTTGCTCGTTTGATGACTCTGCGGAGGTCAGTGCGGGACTGAAATTATGCATATTGACCCACACAATCTTTTCCAGATGGGGGCCTGTTTTTCCAAGGTGTTTAATGGCTGTCCATTGAAGATTCACTGTGCTGTCACATGGGTCCTGCCAAAGACTAAAGGTACGCACAGGTTATAAAGACTAACAAGAGGTAAATAGAGCTTCTGTCAAACCAGTCAGATCTCAGGAAGAATGTCTGACTGTCCTCCCTCAGATCAACACCTCATCCTGGGGACAGAGGAGGGCATCTACACCCTGAACCTCAACGAGCTCCATGAGGACACCATGGAGAAGGTAGCTACCATCAATTGTACAATTATTATTCTTTTTAAACACAATAAAGCTCTACCCATCAGTTGTTCTTATGATTATTATTGTTTTTCAGTTATTACCCCAGAGGTGCAGCTGGCTGTATGTCATGAACAACGTGCTAATGTCTATCTCGGGTAGGGCCCTCAGTGTCCCCACAACACCAACAATTACAACACACCCTAATACTTATGCTCTATCTAGATGTGTGTGTTGACTGTCTTTGTGCTCCGTAGGAAAATCATCCCAGCTGTGCTCCCAGAGGCTGACCACCCTGTTTGACCAGCGTAGACACCTGCAGAAGAGGCAGGGCCACCTGTACATCAACACCCACCGCCTCACTGAGAGGATCAACTCAAGGTATGGACACCCCACCCCTTGTCAGAGGGGGGCTGTAGTGAAAATACCAATGATTTATATATACACTAGATGACTATGATGGCTGTGTTGAAGCCATGGTGACTCAATCTTGGCATTCCACCATCATTCACAAAAATATTTTTGGAAGCTATAGAAATTCATTTCTTAATGTCTAAATTTGTTTTTGCCACATTTATTATATTACAGACACCTTAATGCATACCTTTAAATTATATTATGTGAGCTAAACATAAAAATAGAAAATGAAAAAATATATAAAAACATTTTCCTTGGTGTAATTGTTTTTAGATTACTAATGTAACTGTCCCCACTACATCAAGAAAATACTAAATACATGTAATTTGGACCTTGAAACATTTTAATTGAAATACTGTATAATTTCAGTAATTCCTATGGAGGTCTGCTCCTACTGGGGAGTGATAATATGGCGAACCAGTGGCTTCAAAGCCTCTCAATGGCCAATACATAGCATCAGCAATCCAGGGTTTATATACATCATTGGAAAATACCCAAGCACTGTTGCTTTTCACTGATACTAACATGAGAGGAAGGGAAATTATCCTTGAAATTGTACCAAAAAAAATGTCATGTTAATGTGTTCTCTGTTTTAGAAAGTTTTCTGTGTCTGGGAAGATACCAGACACCAAAGGCTGTCGACGCTGCAGTGTTGGTAGGAAACATGTTATTTTAGTCTAAAATGGAGGTGTACTGTACAGTCTTTATGACTAAGACGACATCTCTCTCTCCCTCCTGCCTTAACTTCTCAGTGCATAACCCGTACACTGACAGTACATTTCTGTGTGCTGTTGTACCAACTGGCCTAGTCCTACTGCTGTGGTATGAGCCTCTTCAGAAGTTCATGCAACTCAAGGTGTGTGATCCCAATGCAATGTTAGAATTGCTTTTTAAAATATATATACAGTGCCTTCGGAAAGTATTCAGACCCCTTGACTTTTTCCATATTTTGTTACGTTACAGCCTTATTCTAAAATGGATTAAATCGTTTTTTTCCCCCTCATCAATCTACACACAATACCCCATAATGACAAAGCAAAAACAGGTTTTTAGAAATGTATGCAACAAAAAAAACTACAACAAACTAATATCACATTTACACAAGTATTCGGACCCTTTACTCAGTACTTTGTTGAAGCACCTTTGGCAGCAATTACTGCCTTGAGTGTTCTTGGGTATGATGGTACAAGTTTGGCACACCTGTATTTGGGGAATTTCTCCCATTCTTCTCTGCAGATCCTCTCAAGCTCTGTCAGGTTGGATGGGGAGCGTTGCGCACAGCTATTTTCAGGTCTCTCTCCATGTTCGATCGGGTTCAAGTCCAGGCTCTGGCTGGGCCACTCAAGGACATTCAGAGACTTGTCCCGAAGCCACTACTGCATTGTCTTGGCTGTGTGCTTAGGGTCGTTGTCCTGTTGGAAGGTGAACCCTCGCCCCAGTCTGAGGTCCTGAGTGCTCTGGAGCAGGTTTTCATCAAGGATCTCTGTACTTTGCTCCGTTCATCTTTGCCTCGATCCTGACTAGTCTCCCAGTCCCTGCAGCTGAAAAACATCCCCACAGCATGATGCTGCCACCACCATGCTTCACCGTTGGGATGGTGCTAGGTTTCCTCCAGACGTGACGCTTGGCATTCAGGCCAAAGAGTTCAATCTTGGTTTCATCAGACCAGAGAATCTTGTTCTCATGGTCTGAGAGTCTTTGGGTGCATTTTGGCAAACTCCAAGCCGGCTGTCATGTGCCTTTTACTGAGGAGTGGCTTCCGTCTGGCCACTCTACCATAAAGGCCTGATTGGTGGAATGTTGCAGAGATGGTTGTCCTTCTGGAAGGTTCTCCCATCTCCACAGAGGAACTCTGGAGCTCTGTCAGAGTAACCACCGGGTTCTTGGTCACCTCCCTGAACAAGGCCCTTCTCCCCCGATTGCTCAGTTTGGCCGGGCGGCCAGCACTAGGAAGAGTCTTGGGGGTTCCAGACTTCTTCCATTTAAGAACGATGGAGGCCACTGTGTTCTTGGGGAACTTCAATCCTGCAGAAATGTTTTGGTACCCTTCCCTAGATCTGTGCCTCGACACAATCCTGTCTCGGAGCTCTACGGACAATTCCTTCTACCTCATGGCTTGGTTTTTGCTCTGACATGCCCTGTCAACTGTGGGACCTTATATAGACAGGCGTGTGCCTTTCCAAATCATGTCCAATCAATTGAATTTACCACAGGTGGACTCCAATCAAGTTGTAGAAACATCTTAAGGATGATCAATGGAAACAGGATGCACCTGAGCTCAATTTCGAGTCTAATAACAAAGGGTCTGAATACTTATGTAAATAAGATATTTCTGTTTCCTATATTTAATAAATGTGCAAAACTTTCTACAAATCTGTTTTCGCTTTGTCATTATGGGGTATTGTGTGTAGATTGCTGAGGATTTTTATTTATTTAATCAATTTTAGAAAAGGCTGTAACGTAACAAAATGTGGAAAAAGTCAAGGGGTCTGAATACTTTCCGAAGGCACTGTATATAGAAAAGCATCGCATAGCATTCCGACAATGTCTGTTCCGCTCTCTCCTTCCCCTCTAGTACATAGCCATCAGTCTCCCAGAAACCCTCCCCATCTTTGAGCTGCTTGTCCTGGAGACTGATGAGCTGCCACAGGTGTGTGTGGGTGTGAGCAGGCTACAGGCCCCTGTCAAGACCTGTGAGCAGCTCCACTTTGACATCATCCACCTGAATGACACACCAAGAGCCCAGTCAGGTACTGTAGATGGAATTGATGTTATTATTAGTATGATAATCACCCTCCATCACTAACTGGATCTTTAATCCAGTTTTAATCTAGACAAAGATCAGCAGAGTGTACAAGCTGTGATGCTATTGTTTATGTGACGTTTTCACAGATAGTCGATCTCTGAAGGTGATGCAGGTCACCCAGCTGGACAGAGACACAGTTCTGATCGCTCTGGAGAGTGAGTTCATTATTTTTTTTCCAATAGTCTTCTTTCAGTATAATTTGGTCAAGACCTTTGACTCTGCTTTCAGTATCATTTGGTCAGGAACATTGACTCTGCTTTCAGTATCATTTGGTCTGGAACATTGACTCTGCTTTCAGTATCATTTGGTCAGGAACATTGACTCTGCTTTCAGTATCATTTGGTCAGGAACATTGGATGTGCTAGTGTTCTGTTCAGAGCGCTAAAGACCCTTGAATGAAGGAAAAAAAGCAAAGAGTGAATTGTGACCGTTTTTCCATTGTACCTTTGCAGATACTGTGAACATTGTGAACCTGGACGGCAGCCCAAGCAAAGGGATGACCTCAAAGTTGACCTTTGACTTTTCCATTGAGACTCTTGGTAAGGAAATGCGTTCTGCATTATAATCATTTAGCTTGGTGTCTTTGGATTGGAGCAGTGGAGGCTGCTGAGGGGAGGACAGCTCATAATAATGGCTGGAATGGAGTCAATGGAATGGTATCAAACATGTGGTTTCCATGTGGTTGATACCATTCCATTGACTCCATTCCAGCCATTACTATGAGACGTCCTCCCCTCAGCAGTCTCAACTGGATTGGAGGTGACTAAATTGTTCTTTGCAGTATGTTTGCAGGACAGTGTTCTGGCCTTCTGGAAGCATGGTCTTAAAGGTAGAAGCTTACATGGTGATGAGGTAATGCAGAACACGTTTTTCATGCCAGGCCAGCTTTTCAGTATTGTCAGACTGTATTGTCAACTCTCCTATTGACAATAAAATGACGTTGTGACACCTGTGACATTTTTCATAGGTTACACAAGAGATCACGGATGAAAGTCGAATATTCAGAGTCTTGGGAACCTCAAGGCATGTCTCTTAATTATAGGAGTTTGATTGCAATTCGATAACAAAACATTTATGTCAAATCATTGAAGCAAAATAAAAAGATGTGTTGCACATTAACGTATGCTTTCATTCCTCAGGGACATTATCTTGCAGAGTACTCCCACGGACAATCCATCAGCCTTAAGCAACTTGTACATCCTGACAGGTCATGAGAGTAGCTACTGAGGAAATCAGAGAATGGAGGACATTCTGTCTCAAGGAAGTACACAGCAGTCTCCTGCTACTCCTAAAAAGACAAGCGCAAAGTCAATAAGGATGGAACAAGGAGCAAAACTGCTTACAATGGCGAGTTGTTTGCAGAAGAGACACTGCAGGAACTGTCTGAGCTGTGATTGGAGCGGGGTCTCCTCAGTCTCTCTTCACATCCATGTGCCAAATGGACCTGTGAATATCGGTGGTTCTTAACATTGCCAGTGGTCTAGGCTACATAAAGATCTGGGCAAGGATTTAAAACCACACTTGTGTGCATTCATCAGACTGGTTGTGACTGGGGGAAAAAAAAATGTATACTGAATCTCAAGACTGTCTGAGTCTGCAGTAACCCAATACCAGTCTGGACAATACTTTCCCATATGGCTGCTGTGTCAGTACTGAAGGCAAGTAAAGTACAGGACCCAGTGTCCATGGTGTGAGGTGGAAAGCAATGGTATCATGCAGTAGCAGCTCTGTGTGTAGGCTACCTGAGAAGAAGTTATATGCAGTGAAAAACATTTATTCACCATGGGGTCATGCACAGGAGGCTGCTGAGGGGAGAACGGCTCATAATAATGTCCAGAACGGAGCCAATGGAATGGCATCAAACACCTGGAAACCATGTTTGAATTATTTGATACCATTCCACTAACTCGCTCCAGTCATTAACACAAGCCTGTGGCTAATAGAGATTTAAATATGGAAAACATTATAACAGAGACAGCAATTGTTTTTTCAGTGTTTTAATTAACAGTATCAAATGTCAACAATATGTGATTTATAGAGGGCTATTAGATTGTTTTGTGCTGTGGTGCTGGCTGCTCTACTCAAAATAATAAATCTGACCAGATGGATATTTGGTTCCCTGTCAAGATCTGAATTACAAACTAAATCATTCATATTCATGTTTCTTATTTTTTGTCAGTTTTGTCCATATATGTCTATAAATATACAGTCAATTGTTTTGTCCAGTAGAAACAGAAGTTGCCAGAGAGAGTTACTTTAACACAACCCTGTCTAGCTAGCAAAAGCAAGGTGACAAAAGCAGTGACGCAAGTGTCTCTGCACAGTCAGTATTCGGCTCCACCCAACTGCTGATAACTTCAGCCAGCCACATCAACGCAAGTCTGACAAGTCGTCGACTGCTCGGTCGTTTGGAGTGCATTTGTACTAGCTAAATCCACAGATGAATAGCCTGTCGTAACATCTAAGACATTCTTTTACAACTATTAATTAGATTTTTTTTTAAACATCTAGGTCGATGTCATCATGGAATTAAATAGTCGCCTGTTGTTTTGAAGTAGCTAGCTGGGTAATGTTAGCTAGCAGTTAGCTTCGACGACTTAATAGCAGCTAGCTCGCTAGCTACGTCAAAGATACTGGAAACTAGCTCCTATCTGGCTACGTTGTTTTTCCAAAAGAAAAAAGGTTGCTACTGCTAACTAGCGAATAATAAAAAGCAAACTACGTTACCTGGCGTTAGTTAGCTAGCTAGTCTAGCTAGCTAAAACTATTATTTAATTGGTTGGCTTTCTATTATTCCTTTGGATGCGGAAAATGGCCCAGTCACCGGGTGCGGTGCAAGTGCCTGGGATGCAGGTAAGTGGAGGCCTCCAACTTTTTCAACAACAAAACCATTTAGCTAGCTTGCGGCTAACTGTGACGCTAGTTAGCAAACGGTAGCTATCTTGCAAGGCGTTGCTAGTTAGATATGTTAGTTAGTTCTAAAGTTACACCATAGTTAACGTTACCCTAACTACGTTTCGTAACTAGCTGTCCCGGGGATTGGATTACTAGATCGTTTTTGGAGGGCATTATGACACAAACAAATCAAAGTTAGATCGCTACCTTTATTAGCACTCATGACCGCAGGTATTCAGTGGAAGGAATGACAAATGTCTGACATTGTGTAACAGGTGAGCTAAATGACCTAACGTTAGCTAGCTTGCGTGGACTATCTGCTTGCCTTGTTTGGTATCTAGCTAACGTTAGTTGTCTAGAGATAAAGCACCAGCGGTCTTTAGCTATATATTTTGAGGGTAGCGTTGGTAATCAAGGAAAGGTTAGTTAGCTAATTGGTAGGTGATGTTTGATAAAAAGGCACAGGTGTTCACCTCTGGTCTCCTGAAAGCCTCTTGTGTATTCCTTGCCTTGGCAAATTAGCTATACATTGTCATTGTTTAGGCGGTCATAAGGTCACCGTTTCCTAGATTTGTGACTTGAAATAGGCCTAAGCCACTAGCTACAACTGCTGCTCTCCATTTACAGCCTGTAATCTGACATGGCTGGGAACCTTTCAGTGCAATAACGTTAGCGACATCATTGATGTGAACATCAGAGGGAAGATTGCTAAAAGCTTCAATGCTTTTCCAGTTATTTTTGTATACCAACTTTTTTTATTAGGGGTTTAGGCTTGAAGGTGTTTTCTATTTCAGTTTATCCACAATATCTCACAAGTCTGAAATTAAACATAAGGAAAGTCAATTGTGACAAATATCACCATTATCCCATTGAGTCTGAGGCAGTAGCTCATTGCCTCTGCAGATTATTCTCTCCCTGCTGTTTTATTAGAATGTTCATCACAAAACATGGTCATTTACTTTGCAGTACTCCAGTACTCAAGCTGCCTTGTGCAATGGTAGGAAGGCTGCATTGATAAGAGGTGGTTGATATTAGTCATTTCCCTGGGGGTTTAATAATTACATGTTTGTTCACCCATCAATCAAATGTATTTATAAAGCCCGTTTTACATATGCAGATGTCACAAAGTGCTTATACAGAAACCCAGCCTAAAACCCTAAACAGCAAGCAATGCAGATGTAGAAGCACGGTGGCTAGGAAAAACTACCTAGGAAGAAACCTAAAGAGGAACCAGTCCTCTTCTGGCTGTGCTGGGTGGAGATTATAAAAGTACATGGCCATTAAGGCCAGATCGTTCTTCAAGATGTTCAAATGTTCATAGATGACCAGCAGGGTCAAATAATAATCACAGTGGTTGTAGAGGGTGCAGCAGGTCAGCACCTCAGGAGTAAATGTCAGTTGGCTTTTCATAGCAGAGTATTCAGAGGTAGATAAGTAAAAAGGCAGCAGCACGACAAGGTAGCACGTCTGGTGAACAGGTCAGGCATCCATAGCCACAGGCAGAACAGTTGAAACTGGAGCAGCAACACGACAAGGTGGACTGGGGACAGCAGGTAGTCCTGAGGCCTGCTCCTAGGGCTCAGGTCCTCCGGGATGGGAGAGAGAGATGGGAGAATTACAGGGAGCATTTCACCAGATAGGACAGACTGACCCTAGACCCTCGGCACATAGACTATTGCAGCATAGATACTAGAGGCTGGGGAGGGGAGGGGGTAGGGGGGGGGACACACACTGTTTGACGATACCCCTGGACAGGGCCAACCAGGCAGGATATAACCCCACCCACTTTGCCAAAGCACAGCCCCCACACCACTAGAGGGATATCAACAGACCACCAACTTACTATGCTCTGGCAAATTAATTCCTAACTGTAGGATATCCAACTGTCTGTCTCAAGGGAGATCAGCAGCTCCCCGCTCCTTTATGATTTCCTGTTGTTTTCTCATATAGCCTGGTCATGAGGCCTACCTGGAGTCCCAAGTCTGATGCTAAATCAGGCCTCAAGCTTTAATGTCTTGTGAAACTGGTATGATACTGCCAACTATGACCAGTAACATTGGCCATGTTGAAGTGTTGTTCTATAAGCTTGAAGCGGGTGTGGCCTGAGAGGAAGTATTCCTTACCTTCTTGTATTCCTTACCCTGGCTTCCTGTGGGTAACACCTGAGGTGGAGCTAGGCTAGTGGTGTTGTCAACAGTGCAGGGAAATTGGAAACGGCCCTATAGGACTGTGTGTTTGTGCACGTGTGTATGTTAGGCTAAATGTTTAAAAAAGGTCTAGATGTGAGACATGGGGCAGGCTGGATACAGCCTGCTATCGCTGCTCTGGCACTCTGTGACACCATGAGCCAGGCTCTGCTCACCCAGACACTGACTCTGCTGCCATTCTAGGTAGTGCTGTCACACTGGGGCACCACACGCCCAAAGGCGTTGAAAGACAAGGAAGTCATCTAGCCCTGCCTCTGTGCCAGACTGCCAAGCAGTGCTATTAATAGTCAAGGCAGGGAGAGATCAAGGCTGGTGCCACTGACTTCCTCCACTGTCTGTACAGATGAATAAATGCACTGTCTGTCTGTGGAACTGGAACCCCACTCTCCCTGTGTCAGGTGAGGTAGAGGGGTTGTGATGGTGTCATGATATTATCAAAAGACGTCTGCTTCCCAGTGTTCTCATTTACATTTACATCATTTAGCAGACGCTCTTATCCAGAGCGACTTACTTCTCAAGGCCACACTCTCACCTTTGCTGAATTTGAAATGTCCCACATTTTGAACGAGGAAAGTTATAAAAAGCTTAACAGAGAAGAAAGTTGATCATTTATTTGGATCCACCAGGCTCCTTTTGCAAACATGCTTGTGGTTATCTAGAGTTAGGCTACATTGCAGCAACAGTGCAGATTATATGGATTTTCCTAATTGTGTATTTTTTAATAGAAAATATTTGATCATCTGTTTTATATAGTGGCCTATCAATAAAATATGTAGCCACACCGTTTAACTGGTTAATTAGAGGAATGGCAACGTCATTATTATTATTTATTTTTATTTTTTAACTGATCCAACAGTATAAACTAGCTATATAACTTGTATGTTCCTGTCTCTCGACCTTCAGAACAGCCGGACGGACCCTGAGGAGCTGTTCACCAAGCTGGAGCGTATTGGGAAAGGCTCCTTCGGCGAGGTGTTCAAGGGCATAGACAACCGCACCCAGAAAGTGGTGGCCATCAAGACCATAGACCTGGAGGAGGCTGAGGATGAGATGGAGGACATCCAGCAGGAGATCACCGTGCTCAGCCAGTGTGACAGCCCCTACGTCACCAAGTACTACGGCTCCTACCTCAAGGTAACACACACACTGGGATTGAATGACAAATATCTGAACACAAAGCAGTTAACAAAGCGTAGGCCCCACAGACTCTAGCATACAGCTAGCTGTTTACCTCATACTTGGAGACCTCGGGCAATACGTTATGTAAAGCTTTATACTCACAGCTGTGAAACAACCAGCTACAATTCAACAAGAGGTGTTAACGTCTGTTCCTTCAAAATGATAATGGATCAGTCTGTACCATTTAAAAAAATACAGTTTCACTTAACAGAAGAATCCTCTCTACTATTTTACAATACCTGTATTTCTAGAAGAGAGGCAGACGTGACTCACCCCTGGTTAAATACACTAGGGCCTTGAAATGTTACAATACCTCACTGGAGGCTCCTTAGAGGAGGAAGGGGAGGACCATCTTACTCAGTGAATTTCATAAAAATAGTGAAACATTAAATTTATCTTTTTATATATAAAACTATTCTAAATATATTCATGTCACCAAATAAATGATTTAAAACACACTGTTGGGCAATGAAGGTCTACAGTAGCCTCAACAGCACTCTGCAGGGTAGCACCAAGGTGTAGCCAGAGGACAGCTATTTTACATCCTCCTCT